TTCCATAGTTTTTTGTATGTTTACCAGAGGGAAACGGGAAGCTTCCTCGTGGAAGGGTCCCATCCGGTCCCACCGGGTCCCGATGTTTTCGGGTGGATCATCCGGTACCAAATGGCGATCATCACTGGAGTGCAGTTGATCTTGTGAATCCATTAGTATTTCTAATATGGGGACAATACATCCCAGAATTTTATGGGTTATATCGTGGTTTAATGCTAGTTTACAAAAGTTAAATGACTAGGTGGATTAATTCCATTAGTATTTCTAATATGGGGACAATACATCCCAGCAATATTAACTACTAGGGAGGGGTACCAATGAGTAATAATATCATCTGGTTGGTGGTGCAATGTGCCCATCTTGAACAATGATGGACTTCGTCAATGGGAAGGATGACATCCCATATATGAAATGGAAAAAAAACATGTTTGAAACCAACCAGTTGGCGATTTTGATAGGGGAAATCATGATGACTGGATTTTCTAGGGATATCTAGGTGGATTCTCTAAGAATCGACCGGTTTTTTGGTGTCACTGTCAGTTACCCGGCCTGGTAAACTAACATAACTATGGAAAATCACTATTTTTTATCGGTAAATCAACGTAATCAACTATAAATGGCCATTTTCAATAGCAAACTGTTAGTTTACCAGAGGGTAATTTATCATTTTCTGATCATTCTCCTCCCCAGAGATCGACCCCGAAAAAACAAAAAGACCAGGCACGTTTCCGCACATCCCTCAAGCCAAGCGCTTGGGTCAAGCTGGTGCGCCGGTTTTCCAGGTGAGTCCTTCCGAAACATTTTTCCAGCCATTTAAAATGGGAGATTTGAAGTACCATATTTGCTATTTGAAACCAGCATAGAGAAGGGGTATATGGTCTATCCTATTTGTAAGTGGTAATCCTTTGGGTGTGGGTCCAGCCATTTGCGCAGAAAGAATCTGATCCGATTCAGGGTGCTCAATTTTGAGAATAAGAGCAAGGCTCAAACTCATAACATTCACCACAGACACAGAAAATCCTATGGATTTAGGAGTGCCCCAAAAAATCAGGATACCTATAGATATTATAGATATATTCAGGATACCTATCTTGTTGGCTTCAGAAATCAGGGGTTCACCTCTCCAGTCAGGTTTTACGCCCGGCCCCAGTTGGTACTCGCTACTCGGTCGTCCTTCCATGACCTGTCATGGCAAACTTCTCGCCTCGGATTGAAAGACTGGTCAAAAAAAAAGGATCCAATAGGTACAATGTGAGGCCCCCAAGATAGCGTTCAGTTGGTTTATAAACCCAATAACTATGATTTATGGTACTTATAACTATAGTTATGGGGGTTTATAAACCAACTTATAACTGGGGGGCCTCATCCTGTAGGGTTGAATCATTTGGACATGATTTCTGATTACAATCCCGAATCTTCATCTTCCCAGAAAAATCCTATCCCATTTCAGATCACCAGATCACCAACAAACCATTTCTGGTGGCTGAAATCATCAGGCTCTCCTGGATTCACTCTGGCAAACATAGCAATGCAACAAAAACAACTCTATTGATAGATGATTTTCGCAAAACACATTGAAACACAGGATGCTGCCCCAATATAAGTTGGTTAAAAGAAGCCCATGAAAACTCGTTGGTTATATCTACCTAATCAACCATAGTTCATTCAGCAGCCATATCTCAACTTAAAAAGCTATCGAAAGGGGGCGGCATCCTGTGGGGATTTCATGGGAGTTATGAAAATAGGACATATGATTCATATGATGGTATTTATTCTCCAGACTACCACAGCTATGGGAGATTTTTTTTTGATGATTTAGCTATGAAAATCCGTGGATTTTCCATCACCCTTTTTTATAACCCCCACTAGACCATGATTGAAGAACATTATTTAATAACATTATTCAACCATTGTTCTGGGTAAATTATAATAATTCACTAACCTGAATTGTTGGGCCATTTGCGGATGATTTCCCTTACTAATCATGATTTCCAGTGAGGGAGAACAGTGAGGTCGTTATAATTTACCCAGATTAATATCCCATTAAATCACATTGCTGCTGAACTCATGATAAGGACCATGATTAACAATGATATGGACGTGCGTGAGGTTTAACTCAGGTTAATTTACCCGATGATAAAACCATGATTTTCCATGATAAGGACGGCCATTTTCGAAGCAAGGGACGCTGCGTGAGGCGCGGGTTGGACTGTGCGCGTGAAGGCTGTGAAGGCTGTGAAGGCGCCTAAAACGACTTCTTAGAAGGCGCCTGAAAGTTTCGTGGTTTCCCTATGGTAAACAAACATAGCTATTGAAAATGGTGATTTAATGGGATTTAATGGTGATTCAATGGTGATTTAATGGCATTTAATGGTGTTTTAATGGGATTCACTGGTGATTCACTGGTGATTTAATGGGATTTAATGGGATTTATTAGGATATATGATGGGATTAAGCCTCTGGTAAACATTCACAGTTTGAAATAATGGTTAAGAATGGTTAATAGTATGTTGTTGAATAATGGTTAATAGTATGTTACCATAATGATATGTCTATGGATAATAATTATAGATAATCCCATATAGTGATAATCAATAATAGATCCCAATATACATGATATGTGACTACGATATGATATGTCTAAGTCTATGGAAGAAATCCTGCACCAGTTGATAGATGGTAAACATTCCATTATTTATAGTGTTTCAACCATCCTTTTGGTGATGCAGGATTTTGCAACCATCCACAGTATGTCTATGGATATGGATATAGATTAGATACATACTATGGATACACATGTCTATAGATACTTATGAAATATATGTCTATGGATATAATGATCAAGATTTAGATTTAGATACATGGCATGGCGTTCCATGACGTGACGTGACATTACATCGCATTACATTACAGAGATACTATTTCATGATATACTGGTTGGTGGTTTCAACCCTCTGAAAAATATCAAAGTCAGTTGGGATGATGAAATTCCCAATATGATTGGGAAAGTCATTTCTAATTCCATGGTTCCAGTCACCACCAACCAGTGTTTGTTGGTTAACCATTATAATCCCCATTCACTATAGTTATATCTACCATAAACCATAGTTAATCAACATTTCCAAACCACCAATCAGACAAATATTTATAGAGGTAATGGTCGTGGCTACGCCGGGCTGGTCAACTGCACCTCCCCAAGCCCGGAGGAGGATGTGAGCATGGAGGCTTGTCGATTGGCAGAACCCACCCGACTCGACTCCTACAAAGCGAGCAGAGCTGAATTTCTGGTGAGTCAAGCAACATCAATGGTGATTTCCTGGGGATATTATTGGGAACTAAGATGATATAAGATATAATAGGATGTGGCTGTGTCTGAAACTTGGGATCAAAAAAAGGCTGGGAATAGAATGGTACAATTTTATATAGTGGAAAAGAGAGTAATCCCAGCCCCACTATATATTTTTCACACATTCGAGTGGTCCCAAGTCGTCATATGTAAATCTCCCATTGAGCCATATGGTTTCTGGGGGGGCTGCTTGATATCAGATGGGATTGATCTACCCTCTGGTTATTTAACATAGCCATGGAAAATTCCCATTTTTAATAGGTAAACTATCTATAAATGGGCCATTTCCCATGGCTATGTTAAATAACCAGATGGTAGTTGATCATGATCATTTTCAAAGCTTCACTATGATGACTTGACCCAAGGCGCTGTTGCTTTCGATGCTGCGCGGATAAGTTTGCAGTATGGAAAAATCATCGACTGATTCTGCTGATCGGTTGGTCGGAATTCCAGCTGTTCATGGATTTCTTGGGTGAACATCCACAACTCCTAGGCATATTGACACCTGGTTTTGACATATCCATTTTTTTGCGCCATGGTCAAGTTACATGAGATTCATGGCTTGTTGTTATCCATACCATGGGAATCCTTATGCTGGACATATTGATCATCAGTAATAGATTGATGAAATATATATATACACATACGTATGTATATATCATGTATCTATATATTATAATCCCTTCCCCCCAATACTAACCCCTCCCCAAATAATAGACACCTCAGGTAGTTTTTATGGTTAGGGGGTATTTATTACTAGGGTGCGAAGCTTCCCCCGAATACTAAACTTAAAACCCTAATATAAAAAACAATTTTTTCTATTTCAAAATCGGTTAGATTTCCTTTTAAAATCTAATTAAAATATTGCCAAGAATTGGATTTCGAAGCTTCCACCTAATACTGAATTTAAAACCCTAATATAAAAAACATTTTTTTTCTATTTCAAAATCGGTTAGATTTCCTTTTAAAATCTAATTAAAATCTTGCCAAAAATTGGATTTCGATGCTTTCCCCTAATACTAAATTAAAAACCCTAATATAAAAAACTATTTTTTCTATTTCAACATCGATCAGATTTTCTTTTAAAATCTAATTAAATTATTGCCAAAAATTGGATTTCGAAGCTTCCCCCCCTAATACTAAATTTAAAACCCTAATATAAAAAACTATTTTGTTCTCTTTCAAAATCGATTCGATTGACCTTTTAAAAACTAATAAAAATACTGCCAAAAATGGATTTCGAAGCTTTGCCCTAATATCAAATTTGAAACCTTAATTCATATATAAAATAATGCTTTTTTCGACCTTAAAAGGCACCCCGGGCTTGACTAGTTTTTATTAATAGGGGGTGAAGCCCTGAAATGGTAGCTTCATTTTTAAATTGTTTTCTCAAGGGCATCAATAAAAAACCAAATTGGCCAACCTAACATTTTTCAAAATTGGAGACGGACCCTAGTTTTTATTATTTGGAGGGGGTTTAGTAATAGGGGTAAGGGATTCTTATATATATATATACACATACATATATATATATATATACACACATACACATATATATATATATAAAAATACAATTATATATACACACACACATATATATATAATATACGTATATAAATACAAATCCCTCTCTTGACTCGACTCTCGCATGAACTCAGAGGTCCATAATGACACAGCCCCGGACTCTGGTGGGGTCAGTGCATTTAATCCCTCTCTTGACCATGGCAGAGGTGACAGATGCAATCGCCCTCGTTGCCTGCTTTTTCTTCCTCCGTCGGAGGAAGGCCCACACCACCCCCGCGACCAACACGGCGATGGGTGCCGCGCTCACCTGACGCCGTGACGCGAAAAGAAGGTCGATTTATGGCTATTACACTTATATTTAATGGATTTTAATGGATCTTAATGGGGTTTCCAAAGTTAAAGAAACCAATTTATCACCCCCACCTTGTAGGTGTAGACCGACAAAAACAGGATCCACAAGTTGCGAAAATCACTTCAACGGCGATTCATTGATTTTCAGGGAACATGACAATTTTTTGGCTGGATTAGAGCTATTAATAAAATTAAAATTGCTCAACATTTTCGTCTTTTCCAAGCTTACTGGCTTACTAAAGCTACTCAACTTTTGAGGATTTCCAGGTAACTTCATGTGGTTAAAACAATAATAAACTATTCCCCAAATCACCATTTTTATGGGTGGTATATGGTGGTATAAACCATCAAAAATTGGGAGGGTTTATGATTGTCTCTGCAGCACATTACTCAACTTTTTCGGATTTCCCAGGTGAATTTCCAGCATCTCTGCCCATCCCATTTTAGTCGTCAAGGAACCCCGCAGGCAGGCCACGTCAAGGTGAACAAGGTGGGATCCTTTGGGCAGGGAATGCGAACTGGAAGCCATGGCCCATAGAAATCGATGGTTTACCGCTTTACCTATGAAAAATGCTGATTTTTTTAATAGCGAACTGTTAAATTACCAGAGGGTAATGTGGTTATACAATAATAAACCACCCATTTGGGAATGGTTGAAATCCCACCTATTTACCTTTTTTCAATGGGGATTTCAACTAGAGTCATGGTGTGAAATAAGATTGAGTTTTCCATATTTGTTCAATCTAGTCAGTCATGTAACATTTGAATGTAAAGGAAGACATATTCGAACCAACCAACGACTATTCGGTTTGTACTGTAATATTTTTGTTGTACCTGTAGTTCAAAAGCAACGTTTGTGATGAGTACATAACATCTGTTCTTCATTTTTTGTTCAGGCAGCTTTTGCAGTGAATCGTTGGTCTTTTGTTGTAAATCCACGGATGGGTTTGTGATCAATATTGTCATTCTGAGAGGAACATGATGGATGAACCATGGGACTTTGGATACTTTACTTTCAGACAAAATATCCACCTATAGGACCTATATCTTCTGTATCTTTTACCAGATGGTCGTCCCACATAGCCAGATTTGAATTGGTTCGGTTTAGCCATTCTAATGGATTCTTATTTCTTCTGGAATTCATCTTGAAGTTAGGTTAACCCCTACAAGCCCTACAATTGTTACGCGCAGATCCGGACGTTTGCCAGGAACCTACGTTTTTTTCCGGTAAAACGACCCGAGTTTTCAACAGACCCCGACTGAGTCGTGGAAGGGTTCTTGACGTAAATTTCTGGTTCTCCCGGATCCTAGCTTTTCTCGCAGAAAGCGGCCCTTTTACACCACTTGTATTTTGGATAAGATAGAAAATAACCATTAGAAGACCTTTATATGTACTGTTTGGAGGGGGTGGCCGATTTAGATCCTTCTGTAATGATGCAATATGATGGAACAGTTGAACAACTATAACATAATACAACCATTCTAAGACCTTTGCAATTACGTATTGTTTGAGGGGGTGACAGATTTAGATCCTTCTGCAATGATGTAATATGAGGGAAGAACATATAACATAATATCTCAGATTTTGATTCAATATAGGGTACATCGTGGAAGAAAATGCGACATCATGGAACCAATGGTAAAAATGATGGAAACATGGAGGGACCTGTGGATTTGGATGAGGGAGATCCCCACTGTCGAGCCCAGGGACCATGAATGCGAAGATGGGAGTTCCAAGCACCTGAACCAAAGGGAACGACAGCATGTGGGAATGTCCTGCACCACAAAAGGGGATCGTTTTTCAAGAAGCACCGTTGATTTAAGCAGGACAACAGAATGTAACATGGACACGTTTGACAATTTTCTCCAGCAAAGATGGGAATCAACCTTGGGTATGGGAACAGTACCCGCAACTCATAGTATTGCGAAAGAACCAGTGGTATTGGTAGCTGAAGCCCAAGATTGTGGGGTTCAGCCATGGCCAAAAAGGTCAAAACTTTCCCGATTCCGGACCTTTTTTGCAGGAGTAATTGCAGGGTCCATCCTCTATCCCCCCCGTCTTGTTGGTAGAAGAATCCAAAACGCAAACTATTGGCTTGATCCTCAATGGGAAACGCCCCAAACTTTCTAGAGTCAATCTCCAGGTTTAACAAGTTTACCAGCGAAATCCGCACTTTTATTGAACCTCCATCGTCTTGGCTAAAATCTCAACATCCGCAGATTTCAGTGGGAAACTCCCACTATTTTAATGGTAAAATCCGTAACTTCTTATTTGCATTTTTTTGCTGCATTTGGGTAAAACCTCACGACAACAAAACCTGATTCACCAGTTGATTGTTCAGGCCCTCCCAACAAATCATCAAACTTCCCAAGGAACCAGGTTTTGATGATGTTTTTGATAGGGATTTAGCTGATGTGATTCCCAAACACCAGGAAAATGATAGGGACTTAGCTGGTGATTTTCCCATCAGCATTCACGAGCGAAATCCCTATCATTTTCCCAGGGTTTTTCATCCCCCAACAGCATCCAGGCACCAAGCGCAAGGTCGAACCCAGGTCTAAAGCATCGTCATTGGGACCATCCAGGCGTCGTACTGAGACGCTGTAGGCGCCTGCGGCGGATGTTCTGCCCAGGTTTTGGGGAGTTGATCGGGGTTTCACCATGAAACTACTGTAGACTAGAGGGATTTTCATGGAACATTGTGGAGATCCAGTACTCCCAAACTTGACAACTCTGCGGCAACTTTTGCCTTACTCATTTGTGGTGGCGGTCAGTGGGGTGGCGGTCAGAACCCAGGATCATCCAAGTAGCATGGTATCACCCCGCCCATATGACGTGTTTCCCGGCAATCTGGGACCTAGCCCTCCGCTCCGCTCATCCAAATTTGCGGTACGACTCTGGTCATTTTGAATTAAGAAACCATTGCCATCTCTACTTTTGGTTTTCTCCAACAATATATCAACATACCCCCAAAAAAACCGGTCATGATAGAACTGCTCAAGATATTGCGATTGTCAACTGTATTCCACCAACTTATGGCCAGCCCCGGGAAGGCCACTAGAAGTGGACACACCCAGTATCCACGTTTCAGTCTTGTTCACATCACAATTTCATGGTTGGATCTCCATTTTTATTGATATATTTTTATTGTTCCTTTCCCAATTTTGAAGACCTCCCAGAAATCCCTGGGGCCCAATTCATGGAAACTATGGAAATGAAAGTCCCATCATTGGGGGTCACTATAAATTCCATGGATTTCTGTCATATTCATATTCATAGCATAAAATCACCGTATATTTCCCTATATTCCTTATATACCCTCTGGTTGTTTAACGTGGCGTAGCTATAGAAAATCGCAATTTTTAAGAACGGTAAATCATCATTAATTAATCATCTTTTTCTATGGGCCATCTATGCCATGAGGGTAAGTCCCATTACTATCTACATATTTGTTGGTTAATTCTCAGTAATCATCAATTTCCAAATCAAAAATCATTGAATCTCAATAAGAAATCACCCTTAAATCCCCAGAAAATCAATTTCTAAGTCCCAAAAAAGACCATGGAAATCCTTATGAAATCCCCATGAAATCGCCTTTTTGTCGCCTTTTTCCACCCAGCTTTTTCCGGCGCCTGACTCCGCGTAGACGCCCTGACCCCGCGAGACCATTTCTTCGGAGGCCGCGCCGGCCCAGCGGTTCTTGGCTTCCCAGACCTACAGTGACTAGGTGGATTAGTGGAATTTTATTCACTGGATTGGTTTAAGGGAAAATTTACAGGAAACCCATGGGTTTTTACCATCAAATTTGATGGGCTTTCCGGTTAAAATTTTCCCATCATCCAATTCTATGATTTATGGGTGATAATCTATGATAATCCCATTAATAGTGGTTTAATGGGATTACTGTGATATATTGATAAGGGTCAATCTATGATAATCTATGATAATCTATAATAATCTATGATAATCTATGATAATCTATGATAATCTATAATAATCTATGATAATCTATAATAATCTATGATAATCTATAATAATCTATGATAATCTATAATAATCTATGATAATCTATGATAATCTATGATAATCTATGAAAATCTATGATAATCTATGATAATCTATGATAATCTATGATAACCTATGATAATCTATGATAATCTATAATAATCTATGATAATCTATGATAATCTATGATATTCTATGATAATCTATGATAATCTATGATAATCTATGATAATCTATGATAACCTATGATAATCTATGATAATCTATGATAATCTATGATAACCTATGATAATCTATGATAATCTATGATAATCTATGATAATCCCATTAATAGTGGTTTAATGGGATTACTGTGATATATTGATAAGGGTCAATCTATGATAATCTATGATAATCTATGATAACCTATGATAATCCAATTATTGATTTGATAATAGATATCTAATAGATATTTAATCATAGGGATCTTGTGGTATATTAATGGAATTTTATGGGTTATATCGTGGTTTAATGCTAGTTTACAAAAGTTAAATGACTAGGTGGATTGATTCCATTAGTATTTCTAATATGGGGACAATACATCCCAGCATTTCTAATATTAACTACTAGGGAGGGGTACCAATGAGTAATAATATCATCTGGTTGGTGGTTTTAACCATCTTGAAACATAAGAAAGTCAATGGGAAGGATGACATCCCATATATTATGGAAAATAAAATTCATGTTTGAAACCACCAACCAGATTCCATTAATCCCATCAAACGACTATTAAACCCATATCTAAGTGAATAATGATAGTGATTAATGATAGATAATCATCCCGCCGGGTGGGTATTTGAACGTGGCGGCGTTGCTTGTTTGAAGTTTGTGGATTTTGTGTCGCTTGGCGTTTTTCTTAATGAAAATCATGTTTTTTGGTCAAATTCGTGCCTCAATTCCATTGTTTTTTTGCTTTTCTGTGCGCTGGCCATCAAATATGGATATTTTAGTCCCAGAAAAGTAGCCCTGTTTTGGTGGGTCATTTCACAAAGTGACAGTGGGGCCATGGTTTTATGGTTTTGGCACGTGAAAGCGGTCCTTTCTTTTGCGCCAAGGTTTGGTCACATATTTCAGAGATTCCCAGCGCCATTGCCACGCACAAACGGTCTTGGGAACTGCACAAAGACGACGGAATGGCTTGCTTCGCAAGCTTCCAGCAACTGTCTACAGTGCCTGTGTGGATCTCTACAGTTTGACGTCAAGCCACATTTTTTTGCGAACAAATTCATTCTTTCGATGGCTAACGCTTTCATGCCCCAAGATGCGTTACAAGGGATGATAACGTAGGTGGAAGATGTTAGAGAAGTTAACAACGTAGTTGCAAGATGCGTTACGAGGGATGATAACGTAGTTGCAAGATGTTAGAGAAGTGAACAACGTAGTTGCAAGATGCGTTACGAGGGATGATAACGTAGGTGGAAGATGTTAGAGAAGTGAACCATGTAAATGCAAGATGCGTTACAAGGGATGATAACGTAGGTCGAAGATGTGAGAGAAGTTAACAACGTAGTTGAATGTTTGGAATGCTAAAGACGTTAATACCCCCACCCCACCCCACCCCCACCCCGTGCAAGATGTGAGAAAAGTAAAAATAGTGACAACTACACGTTCGGCTGTCCACCCGTAGGCATAATCATAGATATCTAATAGATCTTTAATAGTGCTTTAATGGGATTAATTAATGTGATATATCGATAAGGGTCAATCTTGGGTAATTATAGCTACTACGTATCTATGATAATCTTTGATAACCTATGATAATCCCATTATTGATTTAGTAATAGATATCTAATAGATATTTAATCATAGGGATCTTATGGTATATTAATGGAATTTTATGGGTTATATAGCGGTTTAATGCTAGTTTATAATAGTGATTGCCACACATCTAATAGGGATACTGAGTGAGATACAGTAATGGGGTTAACAGGATTAAATGGGATTGTAATGGTGATATCTAAGTGAACAATGATAGTGAATAATGATAGATAATCATAGATATCTAATAGATATCTAATGGTGATTAATGGGATGATCTAGTATCATAATGATATAGTGGATCTAATAGATATCTAATAGCGATATCTATGGATATCTAATAGTGATGAAAATGGGATTTTAGATGGACAATCATATTAATGGGAATGGTGATTAATGGGATTATAGTGATTAAGGTGAACCAAGGATGGTTTATCATCATTTTCCCTATTAAAACTGCTATGTATTGTACCAATATACCTAGATAGTGAAGCTGATTTGGAGGTTTCCTCAGTCATGGGCGTACCCCGAAATCATTCATTTTGAACAGGATTTTCCATGATAAACCGTCCCATATAAAAGGGGTCGATGACAATTTTATGGGATTTTATGGGTTAATAGTGGTTCAATGTTTAATAGTGATTAATAATGGAATACAACTGATAATGGGATTTGTATGGGAATTATAGAGGAACCAAGGATACTCTATGGGATATATTATATCTATCTATTGGATACTGAGATAGTATTAGATATCTAGCTATTTTTTTATGGGTAGTGGTTTAATGGTGGTTGAATAGTGGTTCATAGTGTTGATAGATCCAGATATTGATAAGGGTTGATCTTGGGTCATTGTAGCGACTATTGGATATCTATGATAATCCATGAAAAGAATATTGTGGATATCTAATCGCGGTTGATATTGGGTAAGAATTGCTAAAAAATATGTTATAATCGTGGTTAATATGGTAAATGTAGTAGTGGGTGGATACTTATCTACACAATATCATATCTATAGCTGGATATATGAGTATCTCCTGGTATCTAAGACATGTATAGTATATTCATCCATCTATATCTATCTATTGGATACTGAGATAGTCTTAGATATTCAGCTAGAAATATTTTTAGATGTTTTTCTGTAGACATCTTGTGATCTATTTATTTATATATCTATTGGATATCTATCTAGCTACCTGTCTATCTATGATATATCTAGAAACGGCTTATATACATACATATATATATACATACACATACAGAGTATCGCGCATATGTGTGTAGTCCCATATTTTAGAAGGTATCTATCTACCAACCTGTTTATCATCTATCATGATCTATCTATCTATCTGCTCATCCATCTGTTTACAATGCCACACATTCCGGAACACATGATTGATTGGTAGAGTTTGGAGAGGACCTAAAAGGGGGACCCTATATATATATATATTAATTATGAATATGTGTATATATGTATATGGATATGTAGACACTATATATATATATATACAGATAAACATGATCTGTATATATAATATAATATGTATGTATATATATATATACATATGTAGACATACATACCGAAGTTACCAACAAATTCCACAGAGGATCAGGGGATCATGAGAGCTTGGAGATTCTTCAAGAGTTCTGTGAAATCCAATCAATGCAATCAACACAAAATCAGAAAAGCACAACCATTGGCAACAAAAATGCAGAGATCATCGCAGCAGGACGAGATCAACTTTTACCATCCCAGGGAAACACTTTGAACATCTTTGAAATTTTTCTGACTTCTTGATGCTTTTCCAGACTGGTGGCACCCAATTTTGTGGTGGAGGACAACCCCCATGTCTTGATGAAAACTGATAAGTTCCCCAGGTTTCAAACAGCAACCCGCGCGAACTATGAATGGCTTCTCCCGTAGTGGTTATGATTCCACCTCTCCCATCTGGTTGGTGGTTTTTATACCTACCCCTCTGAAAAATGATGGACTTCGTCAGTTGGGATAAAATATGAAATTCCCAACTGAAAGTCATAAAATTCCATGGTTCCAGTCACCGCCAACCAGTGTTTGTTGGTTTATAAACCATTACAATCCCCATCAACTAGTTCGTTATATCTACCATAAACCATAGTTAATCCACATTTCCATAGCCACCAACCAGCCATAAATGGGGACCAGTGAGGCGCCTTGTTCACTTGCAGGTTTCCCGTCTCTTCGTCGATCAGCACGGCTGAGGACTGATACAGAAGCGATGCATTGCCACTGGAAATGACATGCTCATGGAATTGACTCTGGAAGCAAGAAGAGACCAATTTGTATCAATTTGTTGTTTTTTTTTCTGGATGCTGCAGAGACTGGTTTGACTTGGGTGTGAATATCTCATTTTGCTTCACGGGTGCTCTGAGATCAACTACTTCTTGGTAGGGGATTCTCTCACTGTTTGGGACGTCCAAAGAACAAGGTACCCGATATTCCAATGGCAATTCTCGAGTATTCGAATCGCCACATATTGAGACTAAATAGCACATGTCCTGACAAACCATGACAAACTGACAAGCAAACTGACACGACAAATCCCAACTATTGAATGTAAAACCATTACCCTCTGGTAAACGTTTACATAACTATGGAAAGATCCACCATTTTCAATGGGACAATCCACTATTTCAATGGTGATTTTCAATAGCTATTTTGACATAACCAGAGGGTAACCCCCCCAGGTTTGTTGATAAAAAAATCCCCATTTCGCTACACACATTTCCATCTCTAAATCCGCTCTAACTCCCTGAAATGTCGCATTCACCGAGGAAACAAACCCAGCGGCACCATGTCTTTGGCCGCCACCACGTCACCGTTGGCCGTGGCCACAATGGCTTCGCCGAGACTCAACGACACAGCGGTATCCACCACCTCCTGGGAAAAAAAACAGGAAGCCAATGGTGGTTATTGGTTAATGGTTGCTAATAATGGTTAATGGTTGTTAATGGTGGTAAATGGTGGTTACTGGACATTATTAATGGTGGTTAATGGTGGTTAACTGGATCAATAATGTCCATGAAAAACACCATGAATAACCAGAAAAACCATTATATCATCTGGTTGGTGGTTTTTCGCCCTACCCCTCTGAAAAATGATGGAGTTCGTCAATGGGAAGGATGACATCCCATATATGTAATGGAAAATAAAATTCCATGGTTCCAAACCACCAGGATTTCATCTGACATCACTTGCCATCCAATTTTGCCACGAATTTCGAGAGCAAATTCGAGAAAGCATCGACTTGTTTGAGATTGATGCATGGAAGAGGGATGACAAGCTTGTGAAGTGTGGCTTCTGTCTTCCCAAAGCACCCTTGCTGAAGGTAAGTCGTTCACGAGTGAACATCATCCAGCACATTTCCATGAAACATCTCCACATCTCCTGATTCTTGATGTGTTTTCGACTAAAATCTCAAGAAGTACCCTCTGGTAAACCAACATAACTATGGAAAATCACCATTTTTAATGGGTAAATCCACCATAAATGGTCCATGAGGGTAACCCAAGGTGGTCCGGATGCCGGGCCCCAGCGATGGAACCGCTTTTTAACCCGTCCTGAAAGATTTCCGCAGACCTCTCCAGTGGGATGGTGGTCCAATGGGGGAACCAATGGTGGAGGTAATCCCACCCCTTTTTTTTTCGGGTCCCCGGGGCCTGAAGAATTCCCGTGGTTTCTGGGGTTTCTGTTGATTAGACTTACGGGATCATTTCATCTACAATGAAGGACTTAACGATTTTGAGGCGTAGCCCATGTTGGTAAAACAGATGGGGGATGACCAGTGGTTTTTGAGGGATTCCAGGAAGATATCCTCTGGTAAACATACAGAAAACAATGGAAAATCACCCTGCTATGTAGCTGGGTAAATTAACTATTTCGACTGGGCCATTTTCAATGTCGCAAAATGTAACAGTCATTACCAGAGGCTTAATCCCATCATATATCCCAATAAATCACCATTAAATCCCATTAAATCAGCATTTTCAATGTCGCAAATTCTTAGTTTGCCAGGATTATACCATCATATATCCCATTGAATCCCATGAAATCCCATTAAACCACCATTTTTAATAGGATGATAACTCAAAGACACCGAAGACACACCTCCAGCGATGTGGATCCGGAACTAAAAACCCACCGAAAACAACCGGCCACACGAGCCAAGGGACACCACCACTCGCACAAGCACCTGGAGCAACATCACTCACTGGTGCTTAATTAGGAGGGAACCGGGGAATGATTTTTTCCACTATTTTCATAATCTACTTAAGGAGATTGTGATAATACAGACAACATCATACAACTAGAAATTATATATACCATCTGGTTATTTAACATAGCCATGGGAAATCACCATTTTTAATAGGTAAACCATCTATAAATGGGCCATTTTCCATGGCTATGTTAAATAACCAGAGAATCATATTGTATAGTTCTCCATCACTATCATCCCATTTTCCCATTCCCATTCCGCCGTTTCGCACCAGTGGGGGAATCCTATGGCGGTCCGAGGCACAGTGTTTAGAGTAGAGCCGGTCCTCAGCTGGGGGGGAAGGGCTTAACAGATGTGAATAGCATGAAGTTTGATTTACCCTCTGCTTATTTAACATAGCCATGGAAAATCCCTTATAAATGGAGGTTTTAATGGGAACATCATCTATAAATGGGCCATTTTCCATGGCTATGTTAAATAACCAGAGGGTAAGTCAATGGGAATTCCAGGATCCTAAAATGGAGATACGTTAGTACCATATAGGTTCCTAGAATGGCCATTGATAAAGCACTGAACATTGGTGCATTGTGGTCTATGGATGTCTATGGGATTGAACACGGCCACAAAGCCATTTCCGGTAGAAAACAGGCCCCCATGGCAACATTGTCTGGTTGGTGGGTTTAACCATCTTGAAACATATTAGTCAATGGGAAGGATTATCCCATATATTATGGAAAATAAAAATGTTCATCTGGTTGGTGGTTGACCTACCCCTCTGAAAAATATGATATAGTCAGTTCGGATGATGACATTCCCAATATATAGAAAAATAAAATTCCATGGTTCCAAAGCACCAACCAGTTGTTGTTTCCTCTCAGCACTGGGAAATGCTATTGGCATCCGATTGTGGTTTCCACTTGACACAGGCTTTGCCAATGCGGGGATTCCGTTGGATGGCGTTTGTGCGGTAAATCCAGAAGTAGAAACGAAGTTTGGGTGGTACAAACCACCAAACATTGGAACTTTATGATTGGGTTTTCAGAATTTGAATGAAAAAATAATAGGAAATTACTGTACAAGAAATAGAATTTAAAAAACATGTTGTTCCCCTAGTAGCAAATCTCCGAAATTCACCTCAAAAATGGTGGTAAGTGCTTAATAACACAGTTTTTTATACAGGATGCCACAGTTAGATCAGTGGGTTAATGACCCACTTGCTAAATGGGCCCAGCACCCAAGTAATTTTCCACACTACAAGTGGCGCAGGCTGATCGCTGGTGGCAATCCCGCTGATGACAGCCTCTCCAAAAAATTGAAGCCATGGGGTCTGATAGCGGTTTGTTGTATGAAGCCCCCACTTAAACATATCAACATATGTCAACCGCGCATTCAATAGAATGATAAAACATGATGAAACATGATGACTGTGATCAATCATGATGACACATGATAAATAATGATGAAGAATGATGCATCGTCAGAAATATTGGTGCCTACCAACAGTTCCCAGTGACGGCAGCAGGGGCCGAAAACGCGCCTAATTTCTAGTCCCTCAGAATGGATGTGTCGGGAAAACCCCATTCCATCCTGTGGTTGTCTGTGGTTTATTCTCCTTTTCCCACAAAATATTGGCATCTTCGCTTTGATCGCATTTGACCCAAATTTCTATCTTGGGGCTCGCAAAGCATCGAGCCCGTTGCAGTCGGGGAATGGACGACCCCCAAGTTGGATATTCGGCCTGCCCAAAGTGGGGTAATTTAAAACTGAGAATACTTAGCCGCTTAGCCCTTTAGCTTCACACTTTGGAGATTCTCAAACAGGCCGCAGGGGATCATTTTGCTCGACTTGCGAAGAGTTACAAGAAATTCATTGGGATTCCATTCTTCTGGCTCGCAAGAGTCTTCACATATATCATCACAAGCCACACGAGCTAGATTCCCAGAATTTTGGGCAAATTCTAGCGTACGAATGAAGAACCCGCCAAAATCCTCAGCAATCCATGGTAATTCATATGAGATAATATGATCATATTTTCCATATGTTTTGGATCTTCCTGACTTTACTCACTGTTTGGTGCAGCATGGTGCCAAGATCCCCCCCACATCCGCACGCCTTGGGCCCCCCGGTGATTGTGGCACGCTTCACCTCACCATCTGATCCACCGATCCTCATCCCCCCGAGGTGTTTGAAAACGCAGCGACGCGAGTTGAGGCTCTGACGAACATGAAAGCAGGCTTCCAACAAAGCCTCAGTTCACCCATAGAAATAGTTGATTTACCCATTAAAATGGTGATTTTCCATAGTTATGTTAGCTTATCAGAGGGTATCAATGGCCATGCAACAGGAACCGATTGAGGACGGTACCGATTCCATCTATTTTTGGCCTAAGACCTGTGAAATTCCCATTGATCAGTTTTTCACTGTGCCCGAAAAACATCAAAAAACCCATCACAAAAAAAGGATCGTTGCTTGGGATTCCCATGGCCGAATGAAAGCTGGGAAACTGAAGATGGCTATATGGGGGATACATCCCATTGACACAGCGCCGTTGGTGATAGCTGAGACGTGATCCGGAGAGAGGTCTGCAGAGTTGGTTTCGACCAGCGAAACCCGAAACCCGAAACCCGAAACCGACTCCGAAGACTTAACTTCCCCAGACCGATCGAAACCCGAAACCCGAAACCCGAAACCGACTCTGAAGACTTACCTTCCCCAGGGCCGATCGAAACCCGAAACCCGAAACCGACTCTGAAAACTTAACTTCCCCAGGGCCGATCGAAACCCGAAACCCGAAACCGGAAACCGACTCTGAAGACTTACCTTCCCCAGGACCGATCGAAACCCGAAACCCGAAACCGACTCTGAAGACTTACGTTCCCCAGGACCGATCGAAACCCGAAACCCGAAACCGACTCTGAAGACTTAACTTCCCCAGGCCGATCGAAACCCGAAATCCGAAACCCGAAACCGACTCTGAAGACTTACCTTCCCCAGGACCGATCGAAACCCGAAACCCGAAACCGACTCTGAAGACTTAACTTCCCCAGGGCCGATCGAAACCCGAAACCCGAAACCGACAGCGAAAGTGGGTTTCAAGCGACGAAGCCCGAAACCCGAAACCCGAAACCGATAGCGAAAGTTGGTTTCAAGCGACGAAACCCGAAACCCGAAACCGACAGCGAAAGTTGGTTTCAATCGACGAAACCCGAAACCCGAAACCCGAAACCGACTCGAATCCGACTTTTGGGTGGCTCTCCGGATCGGAACTCTGATAGCTATACCTCAAAAAAATCGAAAGTCGCCAGTATATTCCCATCCAATCCCAAATCCCCATTTGAAACATTCGGGGGTTTCCTAAGTCATAGGGCTACCCCATGGATCATCCATTTTCATGGGTTTTTTCCATGAAATATCATCTGGTAAACATACAAAAAACTATTGAAATCGCCATAGAAATAGTGAGTGTTCCTATTAAAAATGGTGATTTTCCATAGTTTTTTGTATGTTTACCAGAAGGTAAACCAACCAGCTATTGGGGTCCCCCCCGTCACGAGATTTCCAGGTCGCTGAGGACAAACGGTAAGATCTTTGTCCACCTGAGCGGTTTGGCGCCCGGGGACAGGGAAAACCAAATACCAACTGGATCCAACTCGTATATCATGTATATATATATATACCGTATCATATCATATATATATATCATATATATATATGATATATATATATGATATATATATATGATATATATATATATGATATATATATATGATATATATATATATATGATATATATATACATGATATATATATATATATATCATATATATATATATCAAAATCAGTATCCCTGAAAAGGCTCTTATTACTGTTTGGATCTGCTTGATTTCTAAGTTGTTTTCGAATGAAGTAGTGCGAAAGGTGCGTTTGACAGATTGGAGTCATCAAACAGGTGCAGGATCAACATGGACATTCGTCCGTGACCCGGAAGTGGGTGAACTAAAAATCCTTTGACCATTGCACGTCTCTGCGTCAAGATGCAATACATTCCCTTCTCACCTGCCATAAAAGGATAGGAGAATTCATCCCTTTATCCCTTTATACTGGTTGATAGGGTTTCCCATAATGGATGATGAATGTCCAATACACCACGTGGGTTAGCTTTTTGTATGTTTACCAGAGGGTAACCCCCAACCCGAAAAGCATTGCTTTTGTGGGGTCCAACACTCTTCCGAGGTACTCGGATGAACAGCGGCCCGGACCAGAACTGCTCGGGTGGAACGTAGGTCCAGGCTTTATCAATGCCGAAGCCGTCTCGGTACCAGTCATCCTCGCCCGGTGGGAGAAGGATGATTTTCATGGGAACATCTACAGGATGGTGCCCCCCAGTTATAAGTTCATTTATAAGCCCATATATATATATATATGATATCATCAATTATTTAAGCGTATCATACACTAGTGTTATAACATAGTTATTTGCACCCACTGAACGCTAACGAACTGGGGCCCCATCTTCTACGGTTGAACACATTTTGCCCACCGAATCTGCGCATCGCTGCCGGGCAGAAGCCAGACCGCGGCTTGGAGAGAGCAGTGGATCCCCAAAAAACCACACATTTGGCACATGGTAATTCTTGCACCTTCAGTGTTTTTCTAAAACACTAATATCTTAAAAAACCCCGCCTGGTAAACGTGACCACATGTTGCGAACTGGAAAATCACCATGCTATCAATGGGTCAATCCACTATTTCGACTGGGCCATTTTCAATGTCGCAAACTGTAACAGTCATTACCAGAGGCTTAATCCCATCATATATCCTAATAAATCACCATTAAATCCCATTAGGTCATCATTTTCAATAGCTACGTTAAATTACCAGGGTTGGGTGGGAGGAAGGCCCGTCGCATCGGATGTTTCGGAAGGGATCCCATCCGGCGATGCTGCCGGTCGTGGTTTTTCGAGTCTTCTCCCAACTCTTTGTAGGATTCATCAGCAAACAGCTGATCACTTGCAGATACTTGCAGCTGGTAGATTTTGGTCACAATTTTTCCAATTTGGTCCCAATTTTGGGCAAGAAATCAATCACAAACTCTCCAAAGTCATCAAACATGGCCTGCTAGAACGTCCACCAGATGATCTTCCAAGCTATGGACCGCCACTTAGTTCAGGGATTTTCCAGTTGCCATCTTTGATGACACCGGAGGGTACATTTCCCATTCATATCACCATTTTTGATAGTTAAATTCCTATTAATCACCAGGCAATCCCATTAAGTCACCATTGAATCACATTAAATCCCATTAAATCACAATTAAATCACCATTGGATCCTATTCAAAGTCCAATAATTCCAATTAAATCACCTAAATCCCATTAAATTTCATGCAATCACAATTAAATCACATTAAGTCACCATTAAATCCCATTAAGTCACCATTAAATCCCATTAAGTCACCGTTCAATCCAATTAAATCACCATTAAACACCATTAAATCCCATTAAGTCACCATTAAATCCCATTAAGTCACCGTTCAATCCAATTAAATCACCATTAAATACCATTAAATCCCATTAAGTCACCCCATGAAATCCGATCAAGTCACCATGAAATTCCTCAAATATCCCAGTTCAATGCCCAAGCTTCTGTGCGTGCGGACAAGGTCTGGATGCAGCCGCGACGACCGGGCACCTAGTGCCGGTGCACCAAATGGTCGGTGGTTGGAAACAACGAAACATGGATTGGATATTATAGGATTGTTTACAAGATAAGACTAAGAAACACTAAGTATAACATTATCATATGTGTTATCATATATAATTTCATACTGACTTTCGGAAACTACGCATGGAACCCCAAACTTGTAGGTCTCCTGACCAAAACAGCGAATGAAATGAGAACATTTGCCAGGGAGACCAATCTAAAATCCAAATGACGGTTCCATTGTGCCTTTGAATGGTTCGAACTCCTTGTAAAGTGGGCCTGTGGGATTTCAATTCAAAAGCTGGGCTGTTGAGTTGATCCAAGATTTTCCAATGGTTTTCTGTGGTCCAGCGGTTGTGCTGCGCAGTACTCATCTAGTTGGAGCTTTGAGCTACGGAAATACCATCAAGTCGTCATCTTCCCTCCAGAACGTAGAGAAACATCCGAATGATCAACAGAATGATCACCACATGTTTGGACTGGCATCAATGATATTAGTCTTCACCAGCCACTTGCATCCCAGCTGAGAAGATCCTTGAAGATTTAGTCTGCCGCACAAAACCCTGCACTGGCTACGACCCATACCCATTCTCTCTCTCTCTCTCTTAAAAAAACACTCCTCTTGTTGGTGGCTATTTCCCTGTCCCTTGATTGTTTCCCCACTGACTTACTCCAGTCTTCTGTATCCTATTCACGTCTGGTCGAAAAAATCCGAGTTCGCTGGATTCCTTCTGCTCATCAGGACGAATCGGACGAATCGAATTTGGCATCTCGTGATGCCTACTTCTCTGGTTGGTGGTTGACCTACCCCTCTGAAAAATATTGGTCAGTTGGGATGATTATTCCCAACATATGGGGAAACAAAAATCATGTTCCTAACCACCAACCAGTCGTATTTCGACACTAAAACTTCCATGAATTCCATGACCTTCCCAAATGGCCTCTTCACAATCATCACGGTCCGTCAGCAACTTCACCTGCAGTCGTGCAACTCAACTCCTAATCTCAGGAATCCCATCCATAAACTGGTGCTAAACGTAGGGAATGGATGGGTGGGGGTTGCTGGGATTATTATTGACTGGTTGGTGGTATCATGAAATTCCCAATATATGGAAAAATCATAAAAATCCATGGTTCCAAACAACCAAGCAGTTTATTATCCAATGGGTTTATCCCCTATATCCAATGGGTTTATCCCCTATTACCATCTGGTTATTTAACAGTTCGCCATGGAAAATCACCATGCTATTAATAGGTAAAACATCTATTTCTATGGGCTATGCCATGGCTATGTAACAAAGAACCAGAGGGTATATTTGATGGTAAAAACCATGGTTTCCTGATGTTTCCTGTAGATTTTCCCCTTTTAATCCCTATGAATCCCAATCAGTTGTGGATCATTCCCGAAAATTCCCCACAATGTGGGCCCCCCCAGTGATGTTTGTTGGTTTATAACCCCCCATAACTATAGTTATTTGCGTACCAGAAACCATAGTGAAATTGGAGTTATAAACGCACCAACTGAACGCTATCGAACGGGGGCCCCACATTGTAGTTATTAACCATTAATACCCATTGTTATAACCATAGTGAAATTGGAGTTATAAATAGTTATAAGCACCATTAACCATTACTAATAATCATTAATAACTATGTAAACATACAAAAAATATGGAAAATCACAATTTTCAATGGGAAAATCCACTATTTCTATGGCCATTTTCAATAGCTTTTTCTACGTTCACCAGGACTTTCCGTTGGATTTTTTTCGGACTCGGACCTCGTCACCGATGCGTTTCAGCAGCACGGAGCCCGGGGAGATGCCGCTGGCGTTGGGAGGCGCGGCCAACTCCACCTGGGGCAGCAGGCATCGTAGGGGAAAATGCAACTGGTTGGAAGAGAATGGCTGGTTACCCTCTGGTAAACGTTTACATAGCTATGGAAAATCACAATTTTTCATGGGTAAATCCACTATAAATAGCCATTTTCAATAGCTATGTTAAATTACCAGAGGGTAATCGTGGTGAAATCATGGTGAAAATCTTGGTGAAAGCCCTCCAGTTGGGATAAATTGGGAGGAGTCCATCGACTCGGTGATTTGTCTCCAGAAAAATATTTCTGGAACGTCGCGACTCCAAGCAGTTGGTCTTTGGGTATAGCCAGAGTGGGAGAACTGCAGTTGGGATCTTAACAAATCAGTAGGGCTTATCACTTAAGTGGGATGATCCTCCAAGAAAAAAAGGGATGTCACTGACAAGTTCGACCAAGGGATGGAATTCCATTTTCCATCATGGTAATAACTTGAACAACATGTTTTTTTTTTCAATCTACTTTTTTTTACATCCCTTGAGCATCCGTGATCCTATGGTCCAATGGTGAATTGATGATCCAGTCCCATCCAGGTGAGGATCTGAGTCGCATTGCGGCAGATGTTCGGTTGCATCCGGTGAGCCATTTTTGCCAATCAAACAAGCATGGTGAGAACTGGCCCAAAGAGTGCATCCATCATTGGACGCAAATCTCCCTGAAGAACCAGTGATTATAGTGATCATTGGATTGGTTTAAGGGAAAATCTACAGGAAACCATGGTTTTTACCATCAAATATAGGGATTTCTTGTAATTTTTCCCATCATCCAATTCTACGAAGTGATCAATTCACTGACTATGAGAACTATGATTCACCAGAATTCTAGTGATGTATTCCAGATGATTACGGTGTTTTACCATATTTTTTTGCCAGGATTCATTACAGTGTTTCATGAACTATCATCTGGACAACCATCATCAACCATCAATAAACATATCTATGAATACCTGGTTAATGATATCATCAATAAACATCATATCATTAACCATCATTCAACCATCATTAATATCAACAAACATGTCAATAAACTATTGTATTTCACCATCCTTCACCTATAATATCATGTTTTACCAGGATTAATATATCACCTAGACTAGAATATGAATCAGAATTGTGTTAGCTATCATTATCCTCATTCTCCATTTTTTTTAATTTATATAATCATTCACCACCATCAACTCACTCATCGTTCACCGCGACGCGTTCCCCGAACGGGACCTCCTCGAGGATCTTCCGCGACGCGAAGTGCGGCCGAAGGATCCGCAGCACGGTGCCGTAGTCCGAGAGGTCCCGCAGGACGCCGCCCGCCAGAGAGGCCTGCCATTGGGGCTCCCGAGGCAAAACAAATATGGGGGGATGGTTCTTGATGGTTATTATTGGTTATTAATGGTTATTAATAATCGGGTACCCCCAAATCATCCATTATAATGGTTGTTAATGGTTATTAGTAATGGTTAATGGTGCTTAAAACTCCAATAACTATGGTTAAAACAATGGTTATTAATAATGGTTAATGGTTATTAATGGTGGTTTTCATGGCTAGTTGATGGTTATTACGCTAATGATTAATGTGGTTAAACCAATGCCATTTTGACCAGCTGGGAATGGTCACCATAGCACCTATAAACATGGTGAGTCATGGGGGATGGTTCATGGCATTGTTTTACCAACATATTATATATAATTATGTATATATATATATAATTATATATATACATACAGTAGTGGCTATAGTGGATAGTTAAGTAGTGGAAATATAGTATGGGATATGTTAATTTCATATTTAACCATCAATAGTTAGGTGACCGGCAGATGATGGTTTAAAGAGAAAAATCCGCCGACCCCTGCCTTAGCCAAGGCAGGGGCGGCGCCTGGGACCACCGCAGGTGTGGAACTTTTTTTCTTTCCCAATGCTTTGCACTTTCCACGCGCCACCCAGGCCATAGCACTCTCTGTTCACCGCCCAGGAGCCACTCAGGCCACAGCAATTTCTGTCCACTTCCCACGGGCCACTCATGCAGCAATCTCACAGGCCGCGGCAGACCCTGTGCAGCTCCAACAAGTCCCTGAGGCCGTGGCAGTGTCCTTTTAAGGAGGTTCAAGGCTGCCGTTTGCCAGGCTTCAAAACTCGCCAGCGCCACTCAGGCCGCGGTGAACCTTTCCTGCAGCTCAACAAGTCCCTGAAGCCGTGGCAATGTCCTTTTATGGAGGTTCAAGGCTGCCATTTGCCAGGCTTCAAAACTCGCCAAAACTCTCCAAACGCTTCCCTGCAGCTCCCAGGCGCCACTCAGGCCGGGTGATCCTTTCCTGCAGCTCCAACAAGTCCCTGAAGCCGTGGCAATGTCCTTTTATGGAGGTTCAAGGCTGCCGTTTGCCAGCCTTCACAACTCGCCAAAACTCCCCAAACGCTTATAGCACTCTCTGTTCACCGCCCAGGAGCCACTCAGGCCACAGCAATTTCTGTCCACTTCCCACGGGCCACTCATGCAGCAATCTCGGTTTCTACGGCGTTCCCAGACGCAACAGGCCGCGGCAGACCCTGTGCAGCTCCAACAAGTCCCTGAGGCCGTGGCAGTGTCCTTTTAAGGAGGTTCAAGGCTGCCGTTTGCCAGGCTTCAAAACTCGCCAAAACTCCCGAAACGCTTCCCTGCAGCTCCCAGGCGCCACTCAGGCCGCGGTGAACCTTTCCTGCAGCTCCAACAAGTTTTAAGGAGGTTCAAGGCTGCCGTTTGCCAGGCTTCAAAACTCGCCAAAACTCCCCTGCCTTAGCCAAGGCAGAGGCGGCGCCTGGGACCACCGCAGGTGTGGAACTTTTTTCTTTCCCAATGCTTTGCACTTTCCACGCGCCACCCAGGCCATAGCACTCTCTGTTCACCGCCCAGGAGCCACTCAGGCCACAGCAATTTCTGTCCACTTCCCACGGGCCACTCATGCAGCAATCTCGGTTTCTACGGCGTTCCCAGACGCAACAGGCCGCGGCAGACCCTGTGCAGCTCCAACAAGTCCCTGAGGCCGTGGCAGTGTCCTTTTAAGGAGGTTCAAGGCTGCCGTTGGCCAGGCTTCAAAACTCGCCAAAACTCCCCAAACGCTTCCCTACAGGCCGCGGCAGACCCTGTGCAGCTCCAACAAGTCCCTGAAGCCGTGGCAGTGTCCTTTTAAGGAGGTTCAAGGCTGCCGTTTGCCAGGCTTCAAAACTCGCCAAAACTCCCCAAACGCTTCCCTGCAGCTCCCAGGCGCCACTCAGGCTGCGGTGAACCTTTCCTGCAGCTCAACAAGTCCCTGAAGCCGTGGCAATGTCCTTTTATGGAGGTTCAAGGCTGCCGTTTGCCAGGCTTCAAAACTCGCCAAAACTCTCCAAACGCTTCCCTGCAGCTCCCAGGCGCCACTCAGGCCGGGTGATCCTTTCCTGCAGCTCCAACAAGTCCCTGAAGCCGTGGCAATGTCCTTTTATGGAGGTTCAAGGCTGCCGTTTGCCAGCCTTCACAACTCGCCAAAACTCCCCAAACGCTTATAGCACTCTCTGTTCACCGCCCAGGAGCCACCCAGGCCACAGCAATTTCTGTCCACTTCCCACGGGCCACTCATGCAGCAATCTCGGTTTCTACGGCGTTCCCAGACGCAACAGGCCGCGGCAGACCCTGTGCAGCTCCAACAAGTCCCTGAGGCCGTGGCAGTGTCCTTTTTAAGGAGGTTCAAGGCTGCCGTTTGCCAGGCTTCAAAACTCGCCAAAACTCCCCAAACGCTTCCCTGCAGCTCCCAGGCGCCACTCAGGCCGCGGTGAACCTTTCCTGCAGCTCCAACAAGTCCCTGAGGCCGTGGCAGTGTCCTTTTAAGGAGGTTCAAGGCTTCCGTTTGCCAGGCTTCAAAACTCGCTAAAACTCCCCAAACGCTTCCCTGCAGCTCCCAGGCGCCACTCAGGCCGCGGTGAACCTTTCCTGCAGCTCCAACAAGTCCCTGAAGCCGTGGCAATGTCCTTTTATGGAGGTTCAAGGCTGCCGTTTGCCAGGCTTCAAAACTCGCCAAAACTCCCCAAACGCTTCCCTGCAGCTCCCAGGCGCCACTCAGGCCGCGGTGATCCTTTCCTGCAGCTCCAACAAGTCCCTGAAGCCGTGGCAATGTCCTTTTATGGAGGTTCAAGGCTGCCGTTTGCCAGCCTTCACAACTCGCCAAAACTTCCCAAACGCTTCCCTGCAGCTCCCAGGCGCCACTCAGGCCGCGGTGAACCTTCTTGCAGCTCCAACAAGTCCCTGAAGCCGTGGCAATGTCCTTGTCGCCAGGCTTCAAAACTTGCCAAAACTCCCCAAACGCTTCCCTGCAGCTCCCAGGCGCCACTCAGGCCGCGGTGAACCTTTCCTGCAGCTCCAACAAGTCTCGAAGCCGTGGCAATGTCCTTTTAAGGAGGTTCAAGGCTGCCGTTTGCCAGGCTTCAAAACTCGCCAAAACTCCCCAAACGCTTCCCTGCAGCTCCCAGACGCCACTCAGGCCGCGGTGAACCTTTCCTGCAGCTCAACAAGTCCCTGAAGCCGTGGCAATGTCCTTTTATGGAGGTTCAAGGCTGCCGTTTGCCAGGCTTCAAAACTCGCCAAAACTCTGCAAACGCTTCCCTGCAGCTCCCAGGCGCCACTCAGGCCGGGTGATCCTTTCCTGCAGCTCCAACAAGTCCCTGAAGCCGTGGCAATGTCCTTTTTATGGAGGTTCAAGGCTGCTGTTTGCCAGCCTTCACAACTCGCCAAAACTCTCCAAACGCTTATAGCACTCTCTGTTCACCGCCCAGGAGCCACTCAGGCCACAGCAATTTCTGTCCACTTCCCACGGGCCACTCATGCAGCAATCTCGGTTTCTACGGCGTTCCCAGACGCAACAGGCCGCGGCAGACCCTGTGCAGCTCCAACAAGTCCCTGAGGGCGTGGCAGTGTCCTTTTAAGGAGGTTCAAGGCTGCCGTTTGCCAGGCTTCAAAACTCGCCAAAACTCCCCAAACGCTTCCCTGCAGCTCCCAGGCGCCACTCAGGCCGCGGTGAACCTTTCCTGCAGCTCCAACAAGTCCCTGAGGCCGTGGCAGTGTCCTTTTAAGGAGGTTCAAGGCTGCCGTTTGCCAGGCTTCAAAACTCGCTAAAACTCCCCAAACGCTTCCCTGCAGCTCCCAGGCGCCACTCAGGCCGCGGTGAACCTTTCCTGCAGCTCCAACAAGTCCCTGAAGCCGTGGCAATGTCCTTTTATGGAGGTTCAAGGCTGCCGTTTGCCAGGCTTCAAAACTCGCCAAAACTCCCCAAACGCTTCCCTGCAGCTCCCAGGCGCCACTCAGGCCGCGGTGATCCTTTCCTGCAGCTCCAACAAGTCCCTGAAGCCGTGGCAATGTCCTTTTATGGAGGTTCAAGGCTGCCGTTTGCCAGGCCTTCACAACTCGCCAAAACTTCCCAAACGCTTCCCTGCAGCTCCCAGGCGCCACTCAGGCCGCGGTGAACCTTCTTGCAGCTCCAACAAGTCCCTGAAGCCGTGGCAATGTCCTTTTATGGAGGTTCAAGGCTGCCGTTTGCCAGGCTTCAAAACTTGCCAAAACTCCCCAAACGCTTCCCTGCAGCTCCCAGGCGCCACTCAGGCCGCGGTGAACCTTTCCTGCAGCTCCAACAAGTCCCTGAAGCCGTGGCAATGTCCTTTTATGGAGGTTCAAGGCTGCCGTTGCCAGGCTTCAAAACTCGCCAAAACTCCACAAACGCTTCCCTGCAGCTTGATCCTTTCCTGCAGCTCCAACAAGTCCCTGAAGCCGTGGCAATGTCCTTTTATGGAGGTTCAAGGCTGCCGTTGCCAGGCTTCAAAACTCGCCAAAACTCCCCAAACGCTTCCCTGCAGCTCCCAGGCGCCACTCAGGCTGCGGTGAACCTTTCCTGCAGCTCCAACAAGTCCCTGAAGCCGTGGCAATGTCCTTTTATGGAGGTTCAAGGCTGCCGTTTGCCAGGCTTCAAAACTCGCCAGAACTCCCCAAACGCTTCCCTGCAGCTCCCAGGCGCCACTCAGGCCGCGGTGAACCTTTCCTGCAGCTCCAACAAGTCCCTGAAGCCGTGGCAATGTCTTTTTATGGAGGTTCAAGGCTGCCGTTTGCCAGCCTTCAAAACTCGCCAAAACTCTCCAAACGCTTCCCTGCAGCTCCCAGGCGCCACTCAGGCCGCGGTGAACCTTTCCTGCAGCTCCAACAAGTCTCGAAGCCGTGGCAATGTCCTTTTATGGAGGTTCAAGGCTGCCGTTTGCCAGCCTTCAAAACTCGCCAAAACTCCCCAAACGCTTCCCTGCAGCTCCCACGCGCCACTCAGGCCGCGGTGAA